CCCTCAGTGATATACTTTAACTGTATAATATTGATATTTATATTGCATGAACATATAGTGTAATTGCCATGTTCATCTTCCGTCTGTCCGTTCGTTTGTCATTCTTTGCATATATTTTTACGAAAGTTCATACACTGGTATAATTTTGATGAGATATATTCAACTGTCATTATGTTTTGACATTGACCTCCCCCATGACCTTGACCTCGCTCCAATTTTGTCCTTAGCTCAGTTTAAAACTTTTCGATACTTTCATCAAACTCCATACAATGAGAGTTATTGTTTCTGACGTTGATTTTCCCTGTGACCTTGACATCACTTTTTTCCATTTAACGTTTATCTCAGTTTCAAAGAAACTGTTTCAAGTTATTTTCATCAAACCTCAAAAACCAATACAAATTGGTGGGAGCAATTCAACCGCGTCATAATTTTTTTGACCTTGAATTCCCACACCTTGACATCACTATTCCTCATTTTGTTTGTTTGTTAGTTTTATTGTTTAACGTCCCTCTCGAGAATTTTTCACTCATATAGAGACGCCACTACTTGCCGTGGAGAGCTGCAAATTTTGACCTATACTCGGCACTTAGGGCCATTGAGCAGTGAGGGATCTTTTTCGTGCTAGCACCTACTGCGACACGGGACCCCGGTTTATACGGTCTCATCCGAAGGACCGATCTCCACGTCCCAAAGTGGGATTCGAACCCGCGACATAAGGATCAACTCCTTACTCCGCGACTCTAAAGCGAACGCTTTAATTACTGCGCCCCGCGGGCGACTCCTCACTTTGCATTGACCGAGATATTTTCCTCAAACTTCATGTATGCACAGAGAGAAATCGACGAGAGCAATTAAACTTTGTCATCATTTTGTGCCTCTTCCTTCCTTTACACTGATTTCACTATTCCTATGTTTGTGTTTACCTCCGTTTCAAAGAAACTTCAAAATATTTTCATTAATCTTCATACAATGATACAAATTAGTGAGAAATATTGAACTGTGTCATATTTTTCTGACTTCTCTTTTCGAATCTGATTTAAAGAAGCTCTTTCAAGATATTTTTATTAAACCCTATGTGACATTTTTACTTCTTCTGAGCCGAAGGCCATATCTCAAGAATCTCTTGGCCATATTTATCAAATTTGTGACAAAAGTATTCTAAGGCCAAGGGATATCAATAGATCAATAGGGATGTAACCATGAAACCAGGAGAGATAATTTGGGCAATATTAAAAGAAGTAGAGGTTGCTCAAAAATCTCATGAACCGCTGGACAGATTATCACCAAACTTACATATAAGAATGAGGATAAATTCTAGATTAAAATTGTTCAGTGCATCACCCTAGAGCAAAGGGCGTAGCCTAAAGGTCACTTCAAATTGACCTAAAATGATATTTTATTAAAACTTTGTTATTTTGCACACGATGAGGACTAGGGTCATCAAAGCGTGTCAGTTGATGCATCTTAGGACAGTTACCGTGAATCAAAAGTAGAAATTGATTATGATGATATATCTTAGACACTTTGAAGCCTATGATCATCAAAACTTGTCAGTTGATGCATCATGGGGTAATGGAGTGTGTTAACCAAAAAGTAGGTCGCCGTGATCTACTTTCTGAATTTTATGGCTAATAATTTTCAAAACATTTTAGTTTATTATTTTAGATACTAAGAAATTTAGAATCCTTGCCTTGGGATGTTTCAATTAAGACTAGGTCACTTTGACCTACTTTCTGACTTTTGCGGCTTATCACTTTAAAACCTTTTATATCTCGGCCGCGACTGACCTAAGTCGATAAAAAATGGGTAGCAACTGTTCCTTCGCCATGCGCTCGGCACTTTGAAATGAAAGTTGCGGGTCCTTCGGATGAGACCTTAAAAACCGAGGCCCCGTGTCACGGCAGGCGTTGGCACTATAAAGATCCCTCACTGCTCAATGGCCCTGAGTGCCGAGTAAAGGTCAAATTTTGAAGCCCTTCACCGGTGTATGGTGACCTCTCTATATGAGTGAAATATTCTCGAATGGGACGTAAAACAACATACAATCATTTAAAACCTTTTATATAAGCGTGAGGCACCAGGATATGTTTATTTAAAACTAGGTCACAATGACATTCTTTTTAAAATTTTATCATTATTCAAGGTCAAAACTATTTAATTTTAATACTAAGAGGTCTAGGATCATCAAACTTTGTCAGTTAATTTGTCTTGAGGCCTTTGGATTCATTGACCCAAAAATAGGTCACAGTGACAGAGTCGTACAATTTATCAGTGATTCTAAGCCCATGGGGACCGTGCACGGTAGCTCAGTCGGTAGAGCGCTCGCTCCGTGATCGGGAGGTCGTGACTTCGAATCTCGGCCGCGACTGACCTAAGTCGATAAAAATTGGTAGTAACTATTCCTTCGCCATGCGCTCGGCACTTTGAAGTGAAAGTTGCGGGTCCTTCGGATGAGACCTTAAAAACCGAGGCCCCGAGTCACGGCAGGCGTTGGCACGATAAAGATCCCTCACTGCTCAATGGTCCTGTGTGCCGAGTAAAGGTCAAAAATTTGAAACCCTTCACCGGTATATGGTGACGTCTCTATATGAGTGAAAAATTCTCGAATGGGACGTAAAACAACATACAAACAATCAATCTTGGCCCTTGGGTCTCTTGTTTTACCTTGACCTTCCTTTGATCTCGACCTTCACTTTTCAAGACATTTTCATCAAACTTCTTACTAACAAACAAATTGATGAGAGCAATGCAACTGTATCATAATTGTCTCTGACCTTGACATTCCCCTTGATCTTCAATTTTTTTTCATTTTGCTCTTAGTTCATCTTATTGAATTCCATAAAAATTACATCATATAACTCCATTCAAAAATAAACCTCTGGGAGAGCATTTCAACCATACAGACTAAAGATATCATATATAAATTGTTTCATATAGAGGACCCGGGTTTGATTCTCGTTCGCCGTGCTGCGTCAAACCTAAGACGGACTCTTCCTTCGCCAGGCGCTCGACATTAGAAGTGAAAGTCACGGGTGTTTCGTATGAGGATCTTATAAAAACCAAGGTTCTGTGTCATGGTAGGCGTTGGTGCGATAAAGAACCCTCACTGCTCAATGGCAGAGTGCCGAGTATAGGTCTAAATTTGAAGAGCCCTTCACCGGTATATGGTAATGACTCTATATGAGTGAAAAGTTCTCGAATGGGACGTAAAACAACATACAATTAATCAACCAGTCAGTTACGTATAGAGAGGATGACCTTGAAACAACAAGACTTCATTTGGATAAAATAAACTGGCTGTTAAATACTTAGTGAATAGGGTGGATCAACACTTTCTATCATGCTACAAAAGGTAACATCTGTACCAAGTATCAGTTTTGTATATTTAAAAAAATTAAAATTAATTTTTTCCATTATCTCTGATCGAAAAAAAATCCCAGGTTTATTTCTTTTTATGCACCCATGCCTCATTCATGCCCTATATATATGGACATATTTCTACTTTGTCTATTTTAACGACTGTCTATACACGGCACCAAAAGAGTTCTTATTCTAATCTTAAGTGAAATAAGTTGAAATATATAGTACATTACTCAATTTGTAATCAATTCAAATAGTCTTAACGTTATAATACGCCAAGATAAATTTGCAAACTCCACCGGCAAGTGGCGGCGTCTCCATTTGAGTGAAAAATTCACGAGAGGGACGATAAACAATAAACAAACAAAAAATTATTTGCATGTATTTTCCTCATTTAACAGTGATTTCTGTTTCATTATTACTTCGTTGTCTCTGATTTTTTTAAACATTGTTTTGATATCCTCCTAGCAGTAAATGGCTGGTACATGTGCTGATAATGAAATAAACTCATTATTTACACCTTCATATGACATAAATTTGTTAATGTCCAAAAAAAAAAAAACACACACACACACACAGAGGGTCCATAAGAATTGTTTTATCAGTGGTAGATGTGGGTGTACATGGCAGACATTTAAATTGATAGCAAAGCACTTTGCAATGATCTTTGTCGATTCAAACAAGTCTTAGTTGCTATTAACCTTTTTTTTTAATTGCTTAAAAAGAACACTGTCTTGAACTCTGACCCCACCTCTTCTCTGTACTCAATAACATATACTTGTGTATCCCAGATAATTCAGAGTTCTCAGCTTCGCCCGTTAATTTGGTCATTACTATACTGTACTGTGATAAGTAAGTAATAATTGGGTATCGTTATAAAAATTGGTCCAATCAATACATTTCTGGCCAAGTTTAACCAGAAAGCGGATATGTTTTCCTTGAAAAGTACTCATTCAAGATTGTGCTCTACCATTACTTTACGATCCCTTTAAACTGACATGATCATTATTAAAAAACATTATTAAAGTAATATATTACCAATAATTAATAATAATAATTTATCTCTTGGGAACTGGGCAAAAAGAATCAGCCGAGTTGGATGAAATAGTTGGCTAGCCTAACTTTTTACATGAATTTGGTGAAATTAATTATAAGTGGACTGTCATATTTAGAAAAGGTAGACGAGGACAGATTAGCCGGGCAGGCCCAACCTGTGACAGAAGGTCGAGCCCGAGGCCGTGCTCGCACCGATCCCCGGTTGAATAATGAAAAGCGATTATGTATATAGCCTGTAATTTCGTGTAGTTATGGCACAAACTAGGATTGAAAGTAATCAATTAACGTCTTTTTTATGTAAATCTGTTCTTGTTTTGATTTTCGTTATTGTACACCAACGTTTTCATTCATATGTTTGAACTAAAATACTTTCGCAACTTTTAAGCAAAGACTTGTATACTAAGAGTATAAAGGTCCCTGGCTTTTAAAAGTCATCATTGCCGCACGTCATTCTATAATCAATACTGGTGTTTCGATACATTATCTCTTTTATTAATAAAAAACAATACAAACCTGGGAGTGGAGAGATTAATCTTCGACGGGAAAAAAGTGTTAGAAATAAAACAGATAGAGAAAACACAAGGTCTAAAAATACCAATTTTTATTACAAACTTAAAAATATGTAGCAATATAAACAATACAATTCTCAAACATACAAGGCCATGGAAATGAATGATTATTGCACAACGTATGATCACACACACCTTAAACTGACCTACCGAGACAGGTGCTATTTTGGCATGGGGTCCCACTGGTCACGAGTTATCAACAGGACGGATTCCTATAGCTAGGAACGGGAGAGGAGATAAACTAACAGACAAATGAGTTATTGCTTTCAAATAAAGATGGATGAATAAAAAAGAAGCAGTTTCCAGTTTCATAACATTTTTCTTGAGAAAAAGGAATGATGACTAAACCCCCCCCCCCAAAAAAAAAAAAAACCCTTAATGTTCTGTCATTAAAGCTGTTTATCACAATCTGTCCATTTGTCTCATTAATTTTTAAAATTTTATATGAACTTTAGATTTTTTTTATATGCAAATTTTAATTTCTCAAATTCTAATTTAGAAGTCCGTTTTATATATAATTGAGGACTGAGCAAGTTCTTCCAGGTAAAATATCAAGAAAACCTGTGTTTGAGAGTGACCATTAGAGCATTGATAATTTTGATAATTAAAAGGCGACAGCAGTCATGATGACCAGTGGTGGATACACCCGTCCTGGAGGCCATGTAACAGCAAATAATGAACATGGTGTGTATAAATAGGCTCTATCAAAATGATACTGGACTCTCCATAGAAAACCTAATTCCCATCTGTATATACATATAGACCATCATAAAAAGTGTACGAATATATATAATCTTTTGTACGAACGACTTGAAAAAATTATAACTAATATAAAAATAATTTAACTGCTTAGCTATATAACATATGATATAATATGTGGAATATCTAATTAAATAAAAACAATAAATCTCCACTAGTCATTTGTAGAATGTACATGAACCACTCTACTATGGGACTTTAATACGATAATTGATGCCCTCCAAAATATGTCAATATAGATATAAATACTAAGTGACACAGTCACTTATGGCAGCATGAACCAAACCCAGCTACAACCGTGAATATCGAGTTAGGAACATGTTGTCTTCCCCTCAAGGAGATTTCAAACCAACAGATCCTAAAGAATGTGAAGAATCTCAGCTAAACATCTACGATTAAACACGTAAAGTGTCGTCGTCTTTCACTCAAGCTATACTACCCAAATCCTAATTGGCCAACAACATGTGAGGAAACTGTGCCGTATATGAAATGTTATTCAAATTTATTCCATCTATGAACGACTTGTCCGAGTCCGGTGACACAGCTACGGAATTGGCGGGAGACGTCAGCGGAGACGAGGCTGACATGAAGTCGTTCAAATGACCAGGGACGTAGCCTTGACTGGACATCGGTGATCTGACTACTCCGTTGTCACTGATTGGAGAGGACGGACTACTTCCGTGCTGAGGTGAGTGGAGCAGATGTTGCGGCTGCATCTGCTGGAGTTGTTGATGATGGAGCTGTTGTTGAGAAAGATAAACACGGTTTTTCTGATCCATGTAAAATTCGAGGCGTGGATCTCTTGGAGATAAGGAACGCGGTCTCTGTGGAGAACAATAGCCATTTGGATTAGGAGGATGGAGTACTGAAGACCGCTGGCGGAAGAAGTTCCCCAGTTCTGTTGGCGAAAGACGCGTAGGTCTTTTGGCATTAGTTTTCAATTTTGTAGATCCAAACTTTGTCTGTGCAAATGAGGCTGCTGTAAATTGAGTAACGGGATTATCCTTTGACACGAGTGTAGCTGGTGGTGTGGGTCTGGATAGAGTGGAGTTGAACAGTGAGCTGGATGGTGACGTAGACGCGCTGGCTGACCATCCTTTTGATGACGTCGGCGATGACGGAGATAGCATTACAGGTGATAGGCAAATATTGTTCAGTGAAGCCGACAGGTTGTCGATAGGTTTAAAACATTGTGCATCAGGATTGAATGCACGGCCTGCCGCCTGGATTTCGCGATCAGCTGTTTCGGTACTCTTATCCTTTCTATCACTGTACAGAATTTTTATTTGTCCTTTTTCTCCGATACGATATGATACTTCTGCAGGGTCAATCCAGACGGTTAGTTCCTCAGGGAGATAGGACTTGACTTCTTCCAAGGATAAACCGCACTCACTGGCGGCGTGGATAAACACAGGATCGACTTTCTCTCCGTTCATTCGAACACACCTAAAGCCAGAACCTTTAAATGGTTTGTCGGGATACCAATGGCCTTGAAACTTTTTCTTCAGTCCTCTCTCTAATTCCTCTGCGAGCATATCAACCCGTCGTCGTGGTAATTTGTTATACAAGTAGGATATGACAAAGTTAAGGGCAACTGAAACTTCCACGTGCATTGTGTCCTTTGTTTAATCGTGTTTGATTTGTAAATCTATACTCAGTCTCCCGATCTTCAAAGAGTCTTTGTAGTGTCTTTCGCCCTGCGAATCTGAATAACGCTGAAAGTAAAATAAAGTAATGCTATATTCATGGTAGTCTAACATGATTGTATGATGAATCAATAATTCACAATGTGTCTTACACGACACAGCTGTTATATATACAGATCTATATGTTCAAGTCGATACCTAGCCTTTTCCACTATTTCCCTTTCCCTCGAAAACAGAGGTTACCGTGACAGCAAAGGTTACAACCACGAGGATTCCGGATGTTCGGATCAATTAGTAAATAAAATAATTCTAATACCAGAACCTAGATTTGCTGTCATTTTAAAAGACCCGCATTTTGATTGGCCGTAAAAAAAGAGAAATTTCAAGCATCTTGTTGTATTGTTCTCTCGCGGCCTTGTTTACATTTGTATCAAATGTTCGGGATATTTGTTTCCCCCGCAGATGAGAAGGCAGTTATATTTAAATGCTACTGAGGCAGATCATAAGAATGAGTATTATTTCTACGGAAATATCTCAATGCATTTTCGTGACAAAACAACACACTATATCAAAAGGAATTCCTAGATTAGCGTTGTATTGACGTCACGATGGGATAGGAAGCAGAAGATAGTAACATATTGATGAGTCCTAGTAAAGTGTTTGTCCAAGTTCATCAAAAGTTACGGAGCACGTGACACCTCATGACGTTTGACGGGGAAATGTCAAATTCGATATCTTAAATAAAAAATATATATATAGTATCACCTGTAAGATTTTTTTTTTTTGCTTGTGTTACAGTTAAATATGTATATCGTTTATTAAAACTGCTGTGGAAATAAACTTTCACTAACCTTGGCGTAAGCTCCGTTTTGAGATGCGAGATAAGTTATCGTAAAATTACCCCCTATTTATCGGGCACCAGGCAGTGCAGTCACTATATAGATGTAATGTATAAATTTATTACGGAATAGAGACAGTACAGTCAAGTGGGGGTTTGGTTTTATTCTCCAAACCTTTCACATTTGTTCAATCCTCTTACGCTTGTTATCAGAAGCAATACATAATGCATTGAATACCAAAACACATATTGCAAAGATAATGCTGGGGTAAATATAGGCTTATGACGCAAAACAGTGTTTCACCTTCAAACTTGCAAGATGATGAGCCAAATTGTAAACAAGCAAAGGAAGAAAAAAAATCCATAATAGTAAATGTAACTTGCTCTGATCATTCGAAAGGCATCGTGTAAGACACAACAAAACAATTAAAGTCCTATAAAACTGACCACGGCCCGTGAACTGACATCATTTGATCACCTATACCTTACCATATGGTTATTTCTCGGGAAAATGTTACATGTGATATACTGCTAGGTGAAAAAAAATTTAAGTGGGAAAAAAAACTTACCTACTAGGTATTATTTTATCCAGATTGAATTACAAAAGGGTATACGAGTTTATACATTTGTACAGTGTTATCGCAGTCCAGTGCTGAGGGATGTATTCCCTCCCTGTATGTTTGTCTTGGTGAATGTCGTGGTTAGCTGTGCTATAAATACAGACCTTGTTAATATTCATGAGCTCGCAATAATACATAATTACAACACGCTGCTTGATGTACTGGTGATATGATCAGGTATTTGAACGAGCTTATGTTCCTGACCATTGATTTTTAAAAATATGATATTTAATGTAAATATCGTTTTTTAAGGAAGTTCAATCACTTCAAAGAAAACAAATAAAAATATTCGCTAGCAGCCATGTTGTAGCAGACGATTTTTCTATGTAAACGCATTGATTTCATTAGTGAATATTTCTTTTTCCAACCTTTAACCTGAACATAGATTATGCAAATCGATTTATGTTTTGCACCAGGTTGCACATATACTTTGTTGGGACCACATAAATGAAAAAAAAAATCGATTTAATTCTTATCAACGAGTAATAATTGATAGTGATTGGACTCGTCTGTTATCGATGTATTTAAAAATGCTTTTTAATTAAAATGTATCTTCATTTTCTAATTTAGTATTTTTTTAAAAAGAAAGATGAATTCAAAATATGTTATCCATATATGTAACCAAAAATGATAATCGGTTTACTTGTAAAGGTAATAGCAATTGAAAGCCATTCTGTTGAAGTTGCTTTCGTTACTTGCTGGTAAGATTGAATCGTTGAATGTCAGACTGAAAGAACAAATTCATTTGAAAAATGAATTTGTATGAAAGGTCGGTATCATGCGATGCTTTAGAACAAAACCTGCTTATGCATAAATATGGTTACCCACCATTAATTATAGGAAAACGAGGGCTTTAAAATCCCACCTTCCTACATGTATATTTGAAGGAGGCGGAAGTAAATTTAAACTCTTAAAATGTCAATACAGACGAACAATCTTGAATGACATCATTGTACGTAGAGTTCGTGAGATGCATTTTATTGTTAGATATGATGTGGGAAATTAACACATTGGCATTAATGAAGCGTCACACTGTGATATATTTTAATTGGGGAAAATCAATGTAATACTTTTTTAAAAAGTATTTTCTTATTTTCTTCAAACTTTCAAATTTCTTTTTAATTTGTAATTTTCCCTAAAGGTATAACAAGT